AAAAAAACCACATGATAATCTCAACAGACATGGAAAAGCACCTTTGATGAAATCTAATACCCCTTTATGATAAAAGCACTCAGTAAACTAATAAACTCAGTAATCTAAGACTAGAAGGGAACTTCCTCAACCTGATACCCCAAACTAACATCAGATCTAATACTGAAAGACTAAATGATTTTCCCCCAGCATCAGAAACAAGACAAATATGTCTGCTCTTGCCACTTGTATTCATCATTGTAATGAAGTAAGTTCTAGCCACAGAAGACAGGCAAGAAAATAAAAGGCATCCAAATTAGAAAGGAAGAATTAAAACTATGTCTGTTTGCAGATAGCATGATCTTGTGCATAGAATATCTTGTACACTAAAACAATTAGAACTGATAACTTCAGCAAGGTTTCAGGATACAAGATCAAAAGGCAAAAATTAATTGTACTTTCTATACCTTCATAAATCAGGCAAATCAATGAAAAAGAATACAGGGTCTGGAAATAAACACACTTATTTTAAAGCCAACTAATTTTTTACGAAAGTGTCAAACTAATTCAATAAAGAAAGTGTAGGGTTTTCTTTTAAAAAAAAAGATTTTATTTATTTGAGAGAGAGAGAGAGAATGAGAGGAGGGAGGGCCAGAGGGAGAAGCAGACTCCCCGCCGAGCAGGGAGCCCAATGTGGGACTCGATCCTGGGACTCCAGGATCACGACCTGAGCCAAAGGCAGTCGCTTAACCGACTGAGCCACCCAGGCGCCCCAGAAAGTGTAGTGTTATCAATCAATGGTGTTAAAAAACAAAAAAACTCTTATTCCCTTGCCTCACTGTTCACAAAAATTAACTCAAAATTTATGATAGACTTAAATGCAAGATAGAAACAATAAAACTTCTAAGTGAAACAAAAGGAAGAATTTCTCTGTGACCTCATTTAGACAAAGATTTTTTAACAGATGACACCAAAAGCAAGATTGAACAAAGTAAGTTGGAATTTATTCAAATTAAAATTTCTCTCCCAAAGACCCCATTAAGAATAATAAAAAGACAAGCCACAGACAAGAAAATATTCTCAAATCATATAGCTGATAAAACACTTTTGTCCAGAATACATGAAGAATTTTGGCAAAGCAATGAGAAACTGCCCAATAAAAAGTATGAACTTATTTAGAAATTGGGTCTTTACAAGTTAAGAAGTCATTAGAGTGGGTCCTAACTCAACATGAATTGTGTCCTTATACAGTGAGGATAATATCATATGTAGAGAAAGACACCCAGGGAGAATGCCATGTGATGACAGAGGCAGAGGTGGGAGTGATGCAGATCAAGGCAGGAAATGCCTAAGATTGAGTTTCTACCAGAGGCTAGGAAGGGACAAAAAACAGTTCTACACAGAGTCTCAGAAGAAGCATGGCCCTGCTGACACAATGATTTCAGGCATCTAACCTCCAAAACTGTGAGAATAAATTTAAGCCACCTAGTTCGATGGTCTACCCTACATTCTGGAAATACATGCCTTCTTTTTCAAGTAACCCTTCACAAGAGTTTTAAATGCTCCAGGTAACGGTCATCAAGGCTGGCTTATATCATAGAAGAATAAATCACTTTTCTTTTTTGAGATTTTGAGGCTGATCCAGGCAAAGGGCATGAGCAAGAGAGCAGTAGCACACATGAGCTTTACTTGGGCAATACTCTGTAAGGTTTGCCTCTAGGGAAAGTCCCTCATAGCATGAGGCCATCCAGAGGCAATGGCAAAGGAGCTACTACTCAGAAGGGGAGGCAGGCAAGAAAACTCCCAGGGAAGAGGGGAATCAAGAAACTTATTATATGTTTGGGTGATGTTGCTCTGTAGCCCAGATGGAAGTCTTTGGATCAGAGAGATCCAAAGGGCAGCAGCAGCCTGGATCTCTTATAACTACAGGGATTACCCTATTTATGGCCAGCAGCTGTTGGGCACAGTTTCGTGGGGTATGAAAAGTAAGCAGGCTCTAAATAGCTAAAAACCCGCTTATTTGAGCTATGTTTAAAACAATTGGATATGTAAAAATTTGAGTTTGGCACCGGTAGGCTCTTGAGCTACTAGTTCACAATGAAGAAATAAACCACATAGGGCCAATATACAGCAATCATCTTTGTCTCATGTATACAACACCGCCAGATTCTATGTACCTCCTGTTGGAAATACTCAATATCTAAATTATTCTCCTCAAAATATCAGACCTGAATATGGTCACACTTGTAGATTGAACTTGCAATTATCTGCAAATATAAGGAACAGAAGATGTTGAAGATCAGCATGGAGATGCAATTAGAAGACCCATTGTATGAAAATTTCTACATGATTTATTATATTGAAAAATTACATTACAAAGAAAAATGTATGCTAAGGGAACTGTAGATTAGATATAAAGGAGATAGTAAATTGAAATGTATGGGTCTTATTGGATCCCAATGCAAACAATCCAAAAGCAGAAGTTTTGGGGGTTTTTTTAAAGATTTTTTTAATTTATTTGACAGAGAGAGCACAAGCAGGCAGAGTAGCAGGTAGAGGGAGAGGGAGAAGCAGGCTCCCTGCTGAGCAAGGATCCTGATGTGGGGCTTGATCCCAGAACCCTGGGATCACGACCTGAGCCGAAGGCAGACACTTAACTGACTGAGCCACCCAGGCTCCCCAAAAGTTTTAAAATTATGTAGACAATTAGGGAAATTGACCACTGCCTATTTATTTGAATATATTAAGGGATAATTTTCATTCAAAAATATTTAAGGATGAAATGATTTACTGAGAACTGCTTCAAATTATCCAGAGGAAACTGGGTGTTGTAAAGAAAACTGATGGAAAATTATTGAAGGCAGGTAACAGGTATATCAGATTTTGTTAAACTATTCTCTCTACTTTTACAGAGTTTGGATTTAACAAAATAAAATATTAAAAATAAATGATGGAGGCACCTCAGTGGCACAGTTGGTTAAGTGCCTGACTCTTGGTTTTAGCTCAAGTCTTGGTCTCAGTGTGGTAAGATCAAGCCTGCGTTGGGCTCCACACTCAACAGAGTCTGCTTGACAGTTTCTCTCCCTCTGATCCTCCCGCTCATGCTCTCTCTTTCTTAATAAATCTTTTTTAGAAATAAATGATGAAAAACTACTTACAAAAGGAAGTTTTGGTATTGTCTCTATAATTATGCTGTCTAATGCAATCTCTTTCCTAAAAAGATATTCAGATGGTGTGGTAGATTTTTCAATCCCCTGTGAAACAATCTAGCCATGTCCTCATGGTAGCTAAACTGTAATTTTTCCTCCTTCATTTGAACCATGTCACTTGCTTAAGTCAATGTTATGATCAACAAATGTTATGGGAGAAACCCTGAAATACGTTTGTGCATTTGGCTTTCCTCTATTCCTCTAGTAACTCATCATGAAGAACCTTCCCTGAGCTGGTTGCTATCCATTTAGTTTCAGCCCCAGAATGGACACTTGGATCAGAGCCAGTTCAGCTTCCTGAAAACCCACCACTTGTCACAACCCACCCAAGCCAGACCTATGAACATGAAAATAAGTGCTTATTGCAGTATGTAATAAGCAAAATCTGACTAGTTATTTACAGTTACAATAAATTACAAAATTTGCACAATTAACAAGATGTTGGACAACATATGCCATTTATTAAATAGAAATGATGTACTCTGGAAGGTCAGAGAAGGAAAAGAATTTATACAACTGACAAAGGATCAAGAAAGTCTTCAGGGCGCCTGGGTGGCTCAGTCAGTAAGCATCTGCTTTTGGCTCAGGTCATGATCCCAGGATCCTGGGATTGAGCCCTGGGCATTGGGCTCCCTGCTCAGCAGGGAGCCTGCTTCTCCTTCTCCCTTTGCCCCTCCCCATGCATGTGCTCGCTCTCTCTAATAAATAAATAAAATCTTAAACACACACACACACACACAAAAACAGGAACCTGAAAAAGAAGTGTCAGTGACCTGATATGGCTGGGGTTATGATGTTCCAGCCCCCTACTTTCCCCATTCCCACCCACCCTCCCCTCCCGTTGCTTTAGGATTCTTGAGAAACACATTCATCACTCCGTTGGCCTTTTGTCACTGCTTTCCAAATGGAAACTCAGTGAAGGCAGCAATGGTGTCGATCTTGTAGATTGGCAGCCACCCTGTCCCGCACTGCAGTCCTCCCAGCAGCCCTTCCCTATGCTGGTTTCATGTGTCCCCACACCCTGCTCCATCCACATTGGGTGGCCCCAACAACCTCCCAAAGACTCTTTGACAGTGGGTGCCTTGGGGTCTCGGGAGCTCAGGCGCTCGTCCCACATGTCTCCCAGCCCTAGAGGCACCACCCTGCAGAACCGAGGGGGTACCACACTCCAAAGCCTGAGCGGTGAGGAGCGGTGAGGACTCCACTTTCCCCTTCTCCTGTGCAGCGTTTTCCGCACGTCCGCCCCACCCACATGCGCCTGCGTACTTCTGTACTTCCACATAGGCTGCAATCCCAGGTGTCTCTGAGGCGCAAGTCTCAATGTGGCACGCTGCAAGCTGGGAGGAGTCTGAAGGGTGGGGCTCTGGGCATCTGTGGAGTCTCTTCCCGAGATCTCCATTCCCCACAAGCAGCCCGGACTGAGACCATGCAGAGCGCAGGAGCAGGCATTGGTAGAAATGCGCATGTGCTTAGGAAAGGTGGCGCTGGGGTCCCAGATGGGTGGTGGGGAGGCGGGAACTGAGGTGAGGAGTTGCACCACTGTGCTTATTGCACAGTGAGAGAACCTCATGCCCATGCAGCCTAAATCCTCAAGCCAGAAGATTCCAGAACACTGGGCGGGTGAGTGAGGGACAGCAGGTGTGAGTGAGCATGTGCATACCTGGGGGCCCTGACAAAACGTCTAGTTTGTGACTCCGTTTACTCAAAGTAAACGCAACTGACTTGGGGAGCGCTGAGCAGATGCTCCTGCGGGAGTGGGGACTGCTGTGGCTGTGGGGCACTTGTCCTTGTGATATGGGTTCTGCTGGTCTCTCAGCCTGGTGGGGCTACCATGACGTCCCAATAGAGGTGTGGAGGCCCAATGACATCCACCTGCAAGAAGACACAGGATGGGACTTGATGAACCCTAGGGCTGGATGGCCTGCAGACAGGCCCTCAAAAGACATGAAGATGATGCAGCCAAGGACTAGGATGTCTCCAGGCAGGATTTCCTTGGGGAGACACCTTTATGCTGCAGACCACAGCATTCTCAAAAATCTGACTGGAGGAATCTGGTATAAACACAGATTCCAGGAGCACTTGCACTTCTCTCCAGTTCTGAGTGTAAAATGAGGGCAGATGTGACCATTGTGGGTGTCTCCTAACTTCAGTCTGAGTTCCAAAAAAAAAAGGTATCTTAGCCCAAGTCATTACCCAGTCCTTCACTTCTTAAGAATGATTCCAAAATAGTTTGGGGAGAAGGAGGTGTGCAGATCAAGGCTCAGTGGTTTTAATTTTCTCTTAGCAAATAAAGTTTTTGTTGTTTTTTAAAATTATTTTTAATATACATGCAGTAAAACTATTTTAAGTGTAATTCTTTTTTTTTAAGATTTTATTTATTTATTTGACAGAGAGAGACACAGCGAGAGAAGGAACACAAGCAGGGGGACTGGGAGAGGGAGAAGCAGGCTTCCTGCAGAGCGGGGAGCCCGACGTGGGGCTCAATCCCAGGACCCTGGGATCACGACCTGAGCCGAAGGCAGATGCTTAATGACTTGGGCCACCCAGGGGCCCCATAAGTGTAGTTCTGAGTTCTCATAAACGCAGTTATACTAACAGTCAAAATAAAGAATACACCAACACTCTCAAAACAAACAAAACATAGGTACCCACTTATTCTCAAATCCCCCATTCCTAGCCAGTGATCTTAGCTCCCTATAGCTGTCTTTTTCATGTCTTATAAAAGGAATGCCTGTATAGCTTTAGGAGTCTTTTTTGTAAAATTTGATGCCATATTTCTAAAACTCAGCAATTACACCTGCCTTCCAGTGTTCTATACTTGTGACAATTCCCAGCAAAGACTAAGCACAGATAACCTTTAAACCTGGCTTTCCATTTTTAAGACCTACATGAGTTTGGGCAACTCTGTGCTCCCTGTGTTTAACTGTCTTCATCTTTGTGAGAGGAGGGACTAATGGGGTGGGAGGGTAAAATGAGATACAAATGATTATCAAATCACATTAAACATTCCACTCTTCTCAAAGTAAGATTTTCACTATTTGCAGATGACATGATACTATATATAGAAAACCCAAAAGACTCCACCAAAAAACTGCCAGAACTGATAAAAAAAATTCAGTAAAGTTAAAGGACTTAAAATCAATGTACAGAAATCTGTTGCATTTCCATACACCATTAATGAAGCAGCAGAAAGAGAAATAAGAATACAATCCCATTTACAATTGCACCAAAAAATAAGTTACTTAGGAATAAACCTAATCAAAGAAGTGAAAGACCTGTACTCTGAAAACTATAAAATGCTGATGAAAGAAATTGAAGATGACAAAAAAATGGAAAGACCATGCTCATGGACTGGAATAATTGTTAAATGTCTATACTGCCCAAAGTAATCTACACATTTAATGCAATCCTTATCAAAATGCCACCAACATTTTACACAGAACTAGGACAAACAATCCTAAAATTTGAATGGAACTGCAAAAGACCCTGAATAGCCAAAGCAATCTTGAAAAAGAGAAGCAAAGCTGGAGGCATCATAATTCCAGACTTCAAGTTATATTACAAAGCTGTAGTAATCAAAACAGTATGGTACTGGCACAAAAATAGACACATAGATCAATGGAACAAAATAGCCCAAAAATGGATTCATAGCTATATGGTCAACTAATCTCTGACAAAGCAGGAAAGAATATCCAATGAGAAAAAGATGGTCTCTTCAACAAATGGTATTGGGAAAACTGGACAGCAACATGCAAAAGAAAGAAACTGGACCACTTTCTTACACCGTACAAATAAATTCAAAATGGATTAAAGACCTAAATGTGAGACCTGAAACCATAAAAACCCTAGAAGAACACAGGCAGTAATCTCTTTGACATTGGCCCTAGCAATATTTTTCTAGATATGTCTCCGGAGGCAAGGGAAACAAAAACAAAAATAAACTATTGGGGCTACATCAAAATTAAAACCTTCTGCACAGTGAAGAAAACAATCAACAAAACTAAAAGGCAACCTATGGAATGACAGAAGATACTTGTAAATGACATAGCCAATAAAGGATTAGTATCTGAAATATATAAAGAACATATAAAACTCAACAGTCAAAAATAATCCACTTTAAAAATGGGCAGAAAACATGAACAGACATTTCTCCAAAGAAGACAGATGGGCAACAGATATGAAAATATGTTCATCACTTATCCCTAGGGGAATGCAAATCAAAAACTACAATGAGATATCACCTCACACCTGTCAGAATGGCTAAAATCAAAAACACAAAGAACAAGTGTTGGTGAGGATGTGGAGAAAAAGGAACACTCCTGCACTGGTGGTGGGAATGCAAACTGGTGCAGCCACTGTGGAAAAGAGTATGGAGATTCCTCAAAAAGTTAAAAACAGAATTACCTTATGAACCAGCAATCACATTACTGGATATTTACCTGAAGAATACAAAAATACTAATTCAAATGGATACATGCACCCCTATGTTTATAGCAGCATTATTTACAATAGCCAAGATATGGAAGCAGCCTAAGTATCTACTGATTGATGAATGGAAAAAAGGAGATATGGTGTATACACACACACACACACACACACACAATGGGTTATTCAGCCATAAAAAAAGAATGAAATCTTGCCATTTGCAACAACGTTGGAGCTAGAGAGTATTATGCTAAGTGAAATAAGTTAGTCAGAGAAAGATAAATACCATAGGGTTTCACTCATAGGTGGAATTTAGGAAACAAAACCAGCAAAAGGGGAAAAAGAGAGAGAAATCAAGAAACATACTTTTAATTAAGGAAAACTGCTGGTTACCAGAGGGGAAGGGATGGGGGGGATGAGTTAAATAGGTGATGGGGATAAAGAAGTGCACTTGTGATGAGCACAGGGTAATGTATGAAGTGCTGAATCACCACACTGTACACCTGAAACTAACGTAACACTGTATGTAAACTACCAGAATTAAAATAAAAACTTTTCAAATAATTTCCCTCCTCAGGAGGGATGGGGTATTGGGTGATGGGCATTAAGGAGGGCACTTGATGTAATGAGTACCGGGTGTTATATTCAACTGATGAATCACTAAATTCTACTCCTGAAACTAATAATACACTATATGTTAACTAAATTGAATTTAAATTAAAAAAATTTTTTTTAAATTCCCCTCTTCTCAGGCTGCCTGGGTGGCTCAGTCAGTTGAATGTCCAACTCTTGGTTTTGGCTCAGGTCATGATCTCAAGGGTTGTGGGATCAAGCCCTGCATTGGGCTCTGCACTCAGCGTGGAGTCTGCTTGTCCCTCTCCCCCTATGCTAACTCGTACTCTCTCTCAAATAAATAAAATCTTTTTAAAAACCCCCTCTTCTCAATGACTGCTGCTTTACCAATTTGTTTTAGTTAGCTAAATTCAATTATTTCTGCCTTCTACAATCACCAAACACAAACCCAAATCTAAAAATATATCCTTCCAAACACCCTTTGCCTGCTATATCCCACTGTCCTTCACGTGTTCCCTCAAATTGCTTGAATTCATGGCACCCAATTTTCATTGACAAGTGCGTTCCCAGTGGTGTGGGTTAGAAAGCTTTGGCAAGGGGCGCCTGGGTGGCTCAGTTAAGTGACTGCCTTCGGCTCAGGTCATGATCCTGGAGTCCCGGGATCGAGTCCCGCATCGGGCTCCCTGCTCAGCGGGGAGTCTGCTTCTCCCTCTGACCCTCTTCCGTCTCGTGCTCTCTATCTCTCATTCTCTCTCAAATAAATAAATAAAATCTTTAAAAAAAAAAAAAGAAAGCTTTGGCAAAACAATTATTTGAGATTTTATTAACAAGGATTAAGAAATCAGTTTAATAACAGGGGCCCCTGGGTGGCTCAGTCAGTTAAGCGGCTGCCTTCAGCTCAGGTCGTGATCCCAGGGTCCTGGGATCGAGCCCCACATCGGGCTCCCTGCTCAGCGGGAAGCCTGCTTCTCCCTCTCCCACTCCCCCTGCTTGTGTTCCCTCTCTCGCTGTATCTCTCTCTGTCAAATAAATAAATAAAATATTAAAAAAAAAAAGAAATCAGTTTAATAACAAATGTGTATGTATGGTACTTGGGTGGCTCAGTTGGTTGGGCGACTGCCTTCGGCTTGGGTCATGATGCTGGAGTCCCGGGATTGAGTCCCGCATCGGGCTCCCTGCATGGTGGGGAGTCTGCTTCTCCCTTTGACCCTCCCCCATCTCATGCTCTCTCTCATTCTCTCTCTCAATAAATAAAATCTTTAAAAAAAATAACAAATGTGTATGTAACAATAAAAATAAAATTTACATGACAAAATACCTTAAGTTGTATACACCTGAAAATACTGACTCGGAATGTATAATGCTTAACAAAATCACAGTTCATTTGGAATCCATAATTGCAATGAAATATTTTAATCTATTCTCTCAGTACATGACAAAGAGAGTGACATTTGGTAGTGTTATGGGTTGAATTGTCCACCAAAATTTGAATGAAGTCCTAGCCCCAGTACCTTAGAACGTGACCTTATTTAGAAATAGTGTTGTCACAGATATAATTAGAGGCAGAGATACTGGGATAGGGTGAGCCCTAACTTGTTATGTGTGGTCCTTATAAAAAGAATGCCACACAAAGAGATAAACACGCATGCATGCAGAATGCAGTAGAAAGATTAGTTACATTGCCTCAAGCCAATGAACTACCAGAAGCTAGGAGAGGGCTGGAACAGATCCTTCCCTAGCACCTTCAGAGGAAGCAGGGGCTGGCCAATACTTTGATTTTGGACTTCTACCTTCAGAATTGTCAGGCCAAAATTTCTGTTGCCTTAAGCCACTCAGTTGTGGTCCTTTGTTACAGCAATCCTTAGGAAATACAGTAAATATACAAGTGATGTGAAAACACAGTGAATAGTGTATTTCTAAGAAATATCTACAAAAGATTGTCCTTGAAGATAAAATACATACTGTTTTTAATGACACATAAACATAACAGTGAAGCCCATATCAAGTAACAACACTGAGCTCTCCCAAAATCTAATACATGAAGGTGCTTTTTGTTACACAGGACTGAATGAGCACACTTTAAAATGCAATAGGTCAACAAAGTCCCATGTGTTGTTTTGCTTTGTAGTAGCACTGTAGCTTTTGTGGCAGAATCCGGATCACAGAGTCACTAGAAGTATTGAAAATAAGGTGTTCACTAGACAAATTAGACCTTATACACATATGTGAAAATCTAGAGAAAAGGGGAATCACAGCATCAGAGAAGATCACTGAATGTGAGTCTGAATGAGTGGTCTAGAGAACACATCAGAATTGGTAGGAATATCCAAATTGTGAGTGCAAGACCACACAAGTGGATCCTTGATACATAGCTCATGAAGATATTCATGGAAGCCTACAAAACTCTGAGGAAAATGGGAATCAAGCACATGGCATTTTTTTTCATGATACCCTTGACTGGCAGGGCCAAGATCAGGAAAACGGGCTGATGTCCAAAAGCCCCTTTGCATCTCTCACACTTTAATGTGGCTCCAAACACAGAAATGGCTTCTTCATTTCTGCCTTCCAAATCTCATGCCAAGTTAGGCTACTGGTAAATTTGACCACATAATCATAAAGGGAAGGGAAATGTAGTTCCCAACATTACCCACATTGACAGCACAATGTAGAGGAACCACCTCAAACTCCGTATCCTATAGCTCATGGTCACAAAGTAGCTTTTCAGTAAAAGCCTACTGTCCAATTTCCAGTCACAAGCAAGGACAAAGAGCAAAGGGAAAGGGTTGAAAATGACAATTCACACGAGACTATGCTTTTCAAGAACTCTGCACAATTACAAATGTCTGCAAACTATTTGTAAAGAAAATGCAGTAGGGTTCCTCTGGCCAAAATAAATAGATTCTCAGTAAGGCAGAAAATGTATAACGGGTAATATCCAGTATCTGCCACACTAAGCTAGTAAGAAAATCCCAACAAATACCAAAATGCTATTGTTCCAAAAACCCCTTCAAGAATTCAAAGAAATTAAAACTTACCTACATATTAAAAATACACTTCAAATCACCATGAGTCCAACAAACCATAAAGACAGCAGGTTTATTTATGGAAATGTAGAGAAAAAACACCACCTGCAAAACTTGAATGACAGCTGAAAGAGTACTTGGAGAGCTATCTGTAACGGAACTGGAGATACACGCCCCAAAGGTCCACTTTGATGAGGTACTCACAAAGGCAGTACCATATTTACAGCTTTGATAAGATTTCTCTCCTGGTGTGGATTTCCTGACACATGAGGCATGAATTCCTTTGCAGGAGAATTTCCCGCATCCCCTAGGCAGTGTCTGTCTGTGGTGTGTATTCGTACATGTCTTCTTAAGGACGAGGAACAACTGAAGGCCCTCCCACACTCCTTACAGTCATAAGGTTTCTCTCCAGTGTGCACTCGCATATGTATCGGCAAAGACGATGGCCATTTGAAGACTTTCCCACATTCCTTACACTCATAGGGTTTCTCTGCAGTGTGTGTCCTCACATGCTGTTGTAAAAGTTCAGGCCAACTGAAAGCCTTGCCGCATTGCTTGCATTCGTAGAGTTTCTCTGCGGTGTGCCTTCTCATATGTTTTTGTAAGGATATGTGGCAATAGAACGCTTTCCCACATAGCTTGCATTGATACGATTTCTCTCCAGGGTGCATTCTCACGTGTTCCCGAAAGCAAGCAGACAAATTGAAGGCTTTCCCACACTGTTTGCATTCATAGGGTTTCTCTCTCATGTGTGTCCTCATATGTCTTCTCAAGGATATGGGCCAGTTGAAAGTTTTTCCACACTGATTGCATCCGTAAGGTTTCTCTCCAGTGTGCACTCTCATGTGTCCTCGAAAGGATGAGGGATGGCTGAATGCTTTCCCACACTGGCTACATTCGTAGGGTTTCTCTCCACCATGAGTCCTCTCATGTCTTCGGAAGGACTGGGGGTAAATGAAGGTTTTCCCACATTGTTTGCATTCATAGGGCTTCTCTCCAGTGTGAATCCTTTCATGTCTCCGGAAGGACTGCAGGTAAATGAAGGTTTTCCCACACTGTTTACATTCATAGGGCTTCTCTCCAGTGTGTGTTATCATGTGCCTTCGAAAAGCTGAGGAATAACTAAAGGCTTCTCCACATTCCTTACATTTATGTGGTGTCTCCCCGGTGTGTGAGATCATGTGTCTTCGAAACGTTGAGGAATAGCTGAAGGCTTCCCCACATTCCTGACACTTATAGGGCTTCTCTCCAGTGTGTGTTATCATGTGCCTTCGAAAAGTTGAGGAATAACTGAAGGCTTTCCCACATTCTTTACATTTATAGGGCTTCTCTCCAGTGTGAGTTCTCACATGACTAGTAAGACTCGAGAAATCAATGAAGGCCTTCCCACACTGCTGACATTCGTAAGTCTTCTCGGCAGTATGGATCCTTATATGCCGGTTGAGGGATGAAGTACGAGGAAAGGTTTTTCCACATAATTTACACGCATAGGTTCTCTCTCCGTTGTGGGTCCTCACATGCATTCGTAGTTGTGATCGACAACTATAGGCCCGCCCACACTCCTGACACTGATACAGTTTGTGTCCAGTGTGTGCGGCGACGTGACTCTTGAGGGAGGAATGAGGCACAAAGACTTTTCCGTATGCACTACATCCATACTCTTTTACTCCAGTATGAGTTTTCTGGTACAGATTATGATTTGGAATCTGACTGGAGCCTTCCCCACACTGATCATTACTTTCAGAGAGTTTCTCCACCACATGATTTCTGTGAAGAATGAGAAGCATGTTACCATCAATGGTTTGATTAATGATTTCTCACTATTTTACTAATAAGTATTAGGATTACATTTTCATCAATTTCAGTGACTGTGTAGGCTTTCTACGCTATCTGACAAAGCAGAATAAACTGAGTATCATGGAAGGGAATTCAACCATAGGAATTATGAAAATGGTGTTTCTTAAATGTGGCTTTTCCTCCTAATTGTTTTCAACTGAATTATGTTTTTAATACTCAACATATTTAAGGAAATCTTTCTGTAAAAATTCTCAGGGAATAAACAAATGTGATCTAGGCTCCTATGGGTGTTTTCTTTGCTTTGCTTTTTCAATTTCATGATATACTAAGATTCTCCCCTGGAACACTGCTTTCTCTTGTGAGTGCAACTCACCTCAGATGTCTCCCCTGCTTTGTGTGATCTTCAGTGCTAAATTCTTCCCAAATTTCCCCTAAAACAGAGGCCCAGGAATCATTTCTGGTGAACTTTGCTATTTTATGTTCCTTGGATATTTTATTCCCATAAACATCCTGCTGAGAAATTGACCCACTGGTTTTAAATTGAGTCTCATCATCTGAAAGCAAAAAGGGAACAAGTTTTAAAGAAAGAAGGTACATGTTGGTCAAAATGACACTGAGGAGTTTAGCTGGGTCAAGATTTCACCAATAACAGGTACAAAGGGTCAAGGTGGTAAGCAATTTAGTAAACACAGAATTCTCACAAGATTACATAAACGTCACTGGGCTCCTTAATGACCCAAGAAATCTATATTCACCGATGACACACAGGGAGCAGTAGAGATTAAAAAAATAATAATAAGTTTAATGCAGAGATTCTCCTTCTCATGCAGAAACTATTCGATTCTAGCTCTATGGTGGTTGTGACCCTGTCGGTCTTACTAATAATGTATTCCCTTTCCACAATCCAAATCTGGAAACAAGCTTGATGTGCAAGAAATGCTTGTTCTCTAAAAGACTAAGTGAAGGAATGAGGTCATTCTTACCCACTGAGGCCAGGTTTTTCAAGTTTTCCAGCATCACTTCTCTGTACAGTTCCCTCTGAGCAGAATCCAGCAAAGCCCACTCCTCCAAGGTGAAGTCCACGGCCACATCCTCAAAGACCACTGAGTCCTACAACACCCAACAGATGTGCAGAAGGAAAGTTGAGACTCACTGAGTAACCGGATTCGATTCATAGGAAATTCAGACAAGACTCTGTGGTCACCTAACCTCTATTCTATGACTCGATCATCAGATCTCTTACTCTGTCCACACTTACATCCTCACAAATTTAATAGCTCCACCACACACTGAACCTATCTTTACACTTTTAGTGCAACCAAATCAAGTCTCATTCTTCTTTTACCAAAGGGTTCAGACCGCATTGGAGAAATCACAGAAATGCTCTACAAATGAAACAAATATTTGCATTTTAAGACCCATCGATCCCTTGTGACACAAACTACTTTGGCTCCTTCCCTATTATGTGCCACATCACTAAACACCACATCAAGAATCAGGTCAAACCTGGGTGAGGTTTTATGAAATAAGCACATACTGAAGGACTGGGAACTTTTCCTTCCATTCCCCTCACCCAAGAGGCTTACTGGAACCCACCTGCAGCAGGGGCCAGCTAACCATATCATCTTAAAGAACTCCAGGCCATAAGTAGACTGTTTCTGCTGGCTAAATGATAAAATTCCTTTGGCGAAGTCTTGTTAATATATTTGTGTAATACAGGAATGGGATAGAAAGTTATTGAGAAGTCAGAGCTCAGGAAAGAGGACACCGACGTGAGAACTCAGTGCGTTCCCTGCACTCCTGAGTCTCAGTGCACCTGCCCTACACAAACCCATACACACACACACACACGGGGCAAATGTAATATGATGACAAAACAGCTCTTTCCACCAGAACCACGGTAGAGTATTCTTGCTGACCTTGAGGATAAGGTTAAAAGTCTCACCCTGCAAAGGAGTTAACTGAAGTCAAAAATATCTGACAGTGAGTTTGCCCAAGATTATAAAATACATAAAGGATTAGGCACTGCCCTCCTACAAAGGAAACCCTCCCTCATATCAAGTTCCAGGTAGAACCGGTTCCCCATACATCATCCTTCAGGTCGTACTCTCAATTTCTCTCCTTTCCATGTCCCTACATGTCCCTGTTGGGCACATGAGCTTGTCAGCCCCCCTCCCCCAGAGCACAGGAACCACTGAGCTGCATGCTTCCCTTAAACCTGGATTTTTTAAGAAGTTCCTCAACCCACAGACATCCATGAGCATGAGAAAATACTCATTCAACGATTCTGATGCCAGAATCTACCTATTCAACAGGGTAGCTGAGTAACAGGAAAACCCCTATTACTGGAATGGGGACCAACGGGAGGTTCCCAAGTCAGCTGAAGTGTTCTTCGTTATCTGTAGTGCTTCTTCCAGTGAACCCCCACACCTAGTGTGCAGACAGTGTGACTTTCAGCCTTATCCTTAGACACACCTCCCAGCAAGGCTGGTGTCTGGGAGCCTGGGTTTCAGGCTTCCCACCACCCTGACTGATATTACCCACTGTGGCTAAACCACTGTGCCCATGACATTAATACTGAACCTGCCTTCTTTCTGGGAGTCTGGAGCAGAAACCCCAGGCACTGAGTCTCTGCTGAGTCTCCCTGGTAGACAATATTCCATGTGTTGCCATGACTTGTTGCTGGGTGCACGCTGGGTGGCTCTGCCAGGAAAGAACTCTTAAAAACCTGCACTTGGTTTCCCTCAGACTTCTCCCCATATGCCTGTTCCCTCTGCTAATTTTGCTGAGTGTCCTTTTGCTGTGACAGATCACAGTCATGAGTAAAACTATAAGCTAAGTTGTGGGGGTCTGATTAGCAGGACACAAGGGTGGTCTTGGAGACACCAGTCACAGTTGGCATCAGAGGTGGAATTTGCTAGAACACCCCTGACTCACTGAAATATAGCAAAAGCACTGTTTGGGAAGAGGAGGGGGACCGGGGAGATGGCAAAGCTCTGGAGCCCAGGGGGCTCAGTCGTCTGTGATGTGGACGAGCAGCTGAGCTGTGAAGCAAGAGCTGACAAGAGGTGAAAATGGGGGCGGGGGGCACCTGGGTGGCTCAGATGGTTAAGCATCTGCCTTCAGCTCAGGTCATGATCCCGGGGTCCTGGGATCGAGCCCCGCATTGGACTCCCTGCTCCACGGGGGGGCCTGCTTCTCCCCCTCCCTCTGTGTCTCAAAAGAATAAATAAAAAAAAAATCTTAAAAAAAAGAGGTAAAAATGGCGGGTCCAGCTCCAGGAGGCCTGGTGTGCCAGATAGACTGGCTGCTTCTGGCCACGCTCTCTGAGGGAGAGAAGAAAAACAACGCACAGCTTCGGTGAGGTCTTTTTGTTCACTCCTCCAGGCACGAGGAGAAAGGGCCCCCAAGTTACCAAGGTAAACTATGGATGGGCAAAAAAAATTTGAAAAGTTTGCATTGCATTGGGAGAAAAAAATAGTTAAATCAGCGTCTAGAGCTGGAGCAAAACTTTCAATAAACCAAGGGCCTAGTGGGCAGGGATCCTCTACCCTTTTTTTTAAGATTTTATTTATTTATTTAAGGGAGAGAGAATGAGAGATAGAGAGCACGAGAGGGAAGAGGGTCAGAGGGAGAAGCAGGCTCCCTGCTGAGCAGGGAGCCCGACGCGGGACTCGATCCCGGGACTCCAGGATCATGACCTGAGCCGAAGGCAGTCGCTTAACCGACTGAGCCACCCAGGCGCCCCTCTTATCTTTTCTTCTTACCTCGTTGCTGCTGGGCTGCCACAGCCTCCTGACCCGCACGCGCCTTCGAGCCAGCACCTTCCCTGGCAGCTGTAATGTTACCCCTGTAAACGCTGATTTACTACTAGGGCTCCCTGTCGCTCAAACTGTGTCTCCCAAAAAGGTATGTGGAAATCCTAACCCTCCAGACCTACGAATGTGACCTTACTTGGAAACAGGATCTTTGCAAGTGTAACCAAGTTAAGACGAGGCCTTTAGGAAAGGCCCCAATCCAAGCCGACTGGTGGCCTTCTAAGAGGAAAATGCCATGTGAAGCTGGAGACACGTGGGGAAGGTGGCCACATAAAGATGGGATGCAGAGATGGAATTCCACCGTCATAAGCAGAACGCCGGGGGCCACCAGAAGCTGCGAGACGCAAGGCGCAGATGCACAATCCTCCCGCCACCTTGCTTCTGGACTTCTCGCCTCCTGAACGCTAACAGAATACGTTTTTAAGCTGCCCAGCTTATGGCAATTTGTTATGGGAACCCTACAAAACTAACACAGGCTTTGAATGAATTTGTGATGAGGGGCGCCTGGGTGGCTCAGTTGGTTAGGCATCTGACTTTGGCTCAGGTCATGATCCAGGGTCCTGGGATCGAGCCCCGAGTCAGGCTCCCTGCTCAGCGGGGAGCCTGCTTCTCCCTCTCCCTCTGCCCCTCCCCCCTGCTTGTGCTGTCTCACTCTCTCTTAAATAAATAAATAAAATCTTAAAAATTGTGATGAGGAAAAAAGGGGAAGGGGACCTTTTACTTAAAATGGTTCTGCTTCATTACTGCACCTGCACATAAGATAAAAGCTGACGCAGGCGGATGCATGTGTAATCTCATTAAACACCAGAGGGACCATCCCCATCAGTGCAGAGAAAAAAGTGCTGACAGGACACAACCCCCTTGTTTGTTGCCACTGGTGCAGGGAGTGGAAGTTAAACTCTAAGTCTTAGAAACAAGTTTAAGTTTCTGTAACAAATGATTTTTTACTGAGTTTTTACCTACTGGAGGTTCAAAACAAGAGGGAAACAGTGAAGAGACAGGCAATCTCTACCTGGAGATACACTTTGGGAATTTTAAGTGCAAGTCGTCAGCTCGTCGGAGGGCTCTTAGGAAACCCTATTTCTGATGACCGTCAGACTGACGACTGCCCAGCAGTGGCTCTTGTGGATTCAGACGCAAGACAGCGGGGGCTGGGGAAAGTCATCCTTGCACCTTGGAACACAACTTTCTGACCCTGCAGGGTCTCGGCTTTGCTGCTGCTAAGAAAGGCCCCTAGTGATTTGGGGAATGCTGAATTCCGAACTGCCTGAACTTGACCGCAAGCTCACATTCCACTGTGTCCACAACGGGAGGCTTCAGCCTTAGCGCACACCGTACTGATCCAGAAGCAGGTATCAGCTCCACAAAGCTCTGACTCTGGGAATACTGCAGATTTAGGACACTTCCCCAAGGTCCTAAGCTATGAAAACCTTGGGGTGGTCCGTCTGGGTCACTTACAGTTGCCAGTGAGGAAGGCCTCGTTCTCCGATAAGACCATCTGAAATCAAGCCCTTCACTTCTGTTTCTTTCCACGCAGATCACCCCCAGACACCGTCCACACTGGCGAGGTGGACAAGCTAGTGATGTGGGCAGGCAGTCCCTCCGAACAAGGACCAGACCGAATTACTTAAAATCGGCCTGCTGGGGGCCTGCTGACCGGGCTGCCTCATGCACGTCCCATCAGGACACCATCTTATCCCCGGGAGACACTCAGGTCAGCTGCAACCTACAGGAATGGACACCTGAGGCCAGGTGGAAAAGAATACAGAAAAATAATACAGAAATTTTGACGATGAAGCCCCCTAACATTCTAACATTCTAAGACCTTTACCTTTCTGGTTAATGGGATTTACTTGAACTGGGCAAATCCAGGACCCCCTACAGGGCATACTACAGACCTGTCTCACCCAGCTGCAAACAGAACTACTGATGATAATGTTGCTCTAAGGAGGTCTTGTCCAAGGGCCAAAGGAATGTGCTGTTGAGAAATGACAACTGAACAGGCCTCAGTGTCCTTATCCTTAGAAAGTCCTGCTTCCAAGGTTGGCCCTTGGCTGATTCATAGGAATGTGGATTTGGGGAGGCTTCCCACCACACTGCTAGGAGAGGCTCCTTGTCTTTTTCTGCCAACCATGTCTTGTGCTGAAGACCAGCTTTCCTTCTGGCAGTCTGGAATCCTGGTCCATGCTAGGCAAACGGTGTCTCCATGACCAGCCCCCATTAAAAAACCTGCTGAGTCTCTCATTAGCTTCCCTAGTAGAACATTCCACATGTGCCATCATGCCCGGCTGCCGGGGGAACTCAGCATAGCCTGTGTGATGTCAATGGAGGGGACCCCTGGAACTCTGCACCTGGTCTCCTCAGGACATTTCCCCTCTGCCGACTGTGCTCTGTATTCTTGCGCTATAATAAATCAGAGCCGTGAACACAACTACATGCTGGGTCCTGGGAGTCCTCCTAATGAATCTCTGAACTGAATGGTAGTCTTGAGGACCGCTATAGACTGAAAGTTTTTGTGTGCCCCCAAAATTCATGTTAAACCCTAACTTCAATGTGATGGTACTGGGAGGTGGGGGCTCTGGGAGGGGATTAGGTCATGAGGGTACAGCCCTCGTGAATGGGACGAGCGCCCTTGCCCCATCCTCCACATGAGGACACAGTGAGGAGACCACTGTCCATGAACCAGGAAGAAGGGCCTCACCAGACACCAAATCTGCCAGGGCCTTGACTTTTGACTTCCCAGCCTCCAGAACTGAGAGAGATAAACGTGTATTGTTTATAAGCACCCAGTCTATGGCATTT